AACTATCATGAAATTAGAAACAACATCTAAATAATGTTTGGGTAAAAGAGAATTTTTTTTCTTTTCATTTTTTGGTACTGAGAATTGAACTCAGGACCTTGAACTTGTGAGACAGGTGCAGTTCCACTGAGCTAAATCCCTGGCCCAAAAGGACAATATTAAAATTATAGGAAATTATTTATAACATAATGAAAATATAAATAAGCTATAATAAAAGCTAGCAAAGGTTTGAAACATAATTCAATGAGATAAAAACTGAAAATATTGTACCTAAGCATTCAACATATGAATTCAAAAGAAGTCTAATAAAAACCAGAAGATCTTCAGAAAATAAATGGAAACAATGGGATGGTTACACAAATATATAAGCAGATATTATATCAATAAATTTAATACAGAAGAGCAAGTGATTTTTATACATTAACTCAGTGTAATGTTTTGTGTTCAATTTTGAATACACTAAAGCAAAATAAAATAAACAAAAATTGATGGAACAACTAGACATTACAACCATAAAATACTTCAAAAATAATATAAAACTCAAATTGCATGAATTCAAACTCTTGGCAAGTCTAAGGAACAAAAATAGGATGAAACTGTGAGGATTAAAAATATGAAGTATGTGTAACCACAGACATTAAATAGGTAAAATTATCATAATGAGATAGTTTATGTAATTCTGACAATAATTTTTCAAATTTAAAGGAAAAATTTACGATCTATGTATATTTGTTATAAGAATGATGCAGGAATAAAATTAGAAACTAGATAAGCATAAATAATACTGATTATCAAATTTTATTGTGAATTTCATGAAAAGAACTATTATACTGTATTCATTTATTTATTCATTTTTACTTCTTGATGAAATGATTTTTGGATTATTTAAGAATATTATTAGTATCTGATACCATTTTTGTATAATTATTTCACAAAGCCAATAATTACATTACCCTAGCTTTTCCATCTCTCACTTGCCAAGATCAGACAATGGCAGACTTGATGATCAAAATCACAGAACATGCAGTATGTCTTTGTCTCTTTCTCCAACCTAATAGATAGATGAACATGTTGGTATTCATATATGTAGGTACACATATTTTATTAATCAATCTAATAAGTATAGTAATTTATTCAGTGAAAAGTGGTATATTTTGGTTGCAAATCTAAAATTAGTTAATACCTAATATTACACTAAAATAATTATCTAGAAATATTTTTAAAACCATTCATTCTAAAATCCATTTTTAAAAACTCCAGGAATGATTTTAAAATGGAAATAAACTTTAATCTCCAAAACTTTCACATGCTCTTCCTCAAAAATATTCCACGCAAAAATCCTGATAATATTGCTTTTAGTTGATTCTATAGATTTAGGGATGGCTGGAAGTCAGTGAAAAGGTATTTTTCTCAACAATATCCTTTTCAAAGCACTTTTCACCTCCCTATTTCTTAGACTATAAATCAGAGGATTCAATATGGGAATAATAAGAGTGTAGAACACAGCTACAATCTTGCTTTGCTCCAGGGAGGAGATGGACCCAGGTTGAGCATACATGAAGAACACAGTTCTGTAGAATAAACTCACCACTATGATGTGAGAGCTGCATGTAGAGAATGTCTTACTC